ACAACTATTTCCACACTCTAGTTGGTAAATCTTGTTGCCGAAGTTGGTCAATGTTTTCTGCACATTGTGGCGACTGCAGCTCAGTCATGTGGAGGTCAGAGGTCACAGGGCCTAGAAGGTATGCAGGTATGCAGGTGCACACTCAGAGTTAGCTCCACTGGCCTCACCTGACCTAAACAAAAGAAATCCCCGGCGGAGTCATCAGCAGCAACATCTGAAGCTGATTTAACTTGAGCAGCAGACATGCAGCTGCTCTGTGTGAGGCCGACCTGTAACTGGAGGGTCACCGGTTCAATTCCCACAACAACCAGATGCTCTGCTGAAGGGTTCTTGTGCAAGACACAGAACATTCTTTATTTGTACAGTTTCGTTTTGGGGGACGGGGGACTGTGATCGTCATGTGATCACCTGCAGTTCAAAGATTCATTGAGAGCAGAAGTCAGACACATAACCATCTGGAAACTTCAGTGTGTTTTCTTCAAGTGGAAAGCAGAAGTAAAGACGACTTGTGATGAGAATCATCGAGAGCAGAACTTGTCTCTATTCTGGTTTTTCTGCTTTGTTTTTGTTTTCAGTGCTGATTTTGGAAATAAATGAAAATAAAAACAGATTCATAATGAAAATGAAAGGGTGTAAAATGCAAAAAGAAGCAACAAACGGACACAAACAGTCCCTGTTTCTCCAGCGATGATCAGATATCAGACGTGGTGAAACAGAGCTCCATCGACCTGTTAGAAACCAGACGTGGGTGTGAAGGAGAGGCATCTCCAGGGCCGGTCTGAGGTGCTCCACGGCTTCACCCCTTCTCTGGGACTAGAAAGAGAAAAGCCCCTCTGTGCAGCGGAGGTCTGCTTTGAGTTACAGACGAGAAGCCGCCGGGTTTACCGCCGGTCACCGGGGTTCAGCTGCAGACACAGACACAGACCAGCTTTCTGCTGCACCGCTCCACCTGACGGCCCGACGGCGCTGATCTGCAGCCAAAGAGCCAAAGAGCCGGTTTATTTACCTCTCTGCACAAGTCGCTTATCAAGCCCAGTGTTTCTGTGTTCAAGCAGGTTATGGATATAAAAATATGAGTATTGCAGCGGTGCATGTGTGGAAAGACGGGGTTGTTTATACTGATGCTTGTTTTCACTATCAGACTCAGTATATTTGTGCACAAAGAACGAGGTGACGGTAAACAGGAACAGGTGGCATCAGGCTGATGGAGAGGACAGGTGGTCCACACCCACTCTGCAAAACATTTAACCCTTTTAATCCTTTTAGTTAAGTCTGAAAATGTCAACTTTTCACACAGGAAATACTTTTGTATTGTAGGATATCATGTTTTCTAGACGTACGACAGCATGGAGGCTGCAAAAACCAAGTTTCCGTCCAAATGAAGCGCAGATTTTATGCGAATTTCCAGAAAACTCTGCAAAAGAAAAAGGGAATGAATGCACGTTTCAATGCTCTGCTGTTGTGTGAACATCCGGCTTCAGAAGAAGAGGACGGAATTAAAAGTATGCAGGTCAAACATGGTGGAAATATTGTATTTATGTGAGGAAGGTTAATGCTTCATGTATGTCATGACATGTCTTAAAACTACATAATGTTATAAATTGAATATATTTGGGTTGTAAAAGTGGCTCCGGTGCTTTAAACATTTGTTTTTAGGAGCATAGATAAGTGTGCAGTCTTTATGCCACACCTGGAGTGTGTAATCCGTCTCACTGCATCCCAGCTGCTGTAACACTGATTCAGTACACACAACACATTTAGCCTCCAGCTTCTCTGTAATACTTCTCATGACCTTTCTGAATCAGTTCAAGCTTTGACTCTTTAAGAGAAACATATTCTCCCGTCAGTGTGTGAAGCTCCTTTCTGTTAAATCTTTGTTATTGTGTTTTAACGTCTTCTTTCTGCTTCCACAGACCCAAACCGCCGCCTCCCGATGGCATCAAGTCCAACCCGTCCAAACGGCACCGCGACCGGCTCAACGGCGAGCTGGACAAGCTCACCAGCCTGCTGCCCTTCACCGAGGACGTCCGGGCTCGGCTGGACAAGCTGTCGGTGCTCCGCCTCAGCGTCGGCTACCTGAAGGTGAAGAGCTTCTTCAGCGGTGAGTGACGTTCTCTCGTGTCCTGCAGACACTTCGGAATACTCACAAACGTTTACAGGAGACTTTTTACTCCCTACAGCTTTATTCAGACAGTAAGACATGCACGTATTTAATAAGGTTAAGTTAAGACTTCGTGCATGCTGAATCTAAAAAGTGTTTGTGGATATTCTTTTATTCAGACATGCAACTGAAAGCTGACAATGTCTCGCTGCGGTTACACAAACGTTTTTCGAGGGTTGTTAAACCGATTCTGAGTCTTAAAAACATTTTTATTTCCTCTGCACCACACGTTGTTTTAGTTGATTTTATGAACTCAATGTGAGTTATAGTTTATTCTCAGACTATTCTTTCACCAGGTTTAGTTTCATGAGGTGTCCTAAACCAGAGAGGATCATGGGTACAAACATCCTGTATGCATTCAGCCCAGAGGCTAAATCAGTGACTGAAATGTGTCCCCTCTGGCTCTCCGTATATATTTGGAGCTGACCTCCTCTTCAACAGGAGGTGTGAAGCTGACAGTACAGCTGCTGGTGTGCAGTGTGTGAATACCAGACACAACCTATAAGGTTATGTTTCTAGAAAAAGCACCAAAGAAAAACATTCAAGACTAAATTATAAATGGAATTCTGAATCTAGCTGATTATGAACTTTTTTTAAATTCCTTTTTATATTTCCACATTTATTTTCTTACTCTTTTACAGATGCATTCTATTATATGACTCCATAGTAAAGCAGGTGATCAGAGATCCAGCAGGAACGTGTTGTGAGGAGGTGATCAATCTCCCATCTTAATAAAAAACGCTCAAGCGTTCGCTTTATTGGCTCGAACCTGTTCGTCTCTGGAATCAAAGAGGCTTTTTGTTCTGAAACCGGCTGCAAAGGGAGCAAGAGATGAGTAATCAATGAGTCACTGGCATTGACGAACAACCTGATCAACCCCCTGCAGATGTGTTACGCTCTAAACACACTGACTTGTTGCCTCTTTAATGCACGAGCATCTGTAGAAACAGCGCGTTGTTATGTCGACCTGTTGCCAAAGGAAACAGACCCGTTGCTCTGGAGTCATCAATTATTTGGCAGCGTCGGTCGCTTCGTGTCGGCTGAACAAATGTGTTTGGAGTCTGGTTTCTCTCAAACCACACCGTTGGTGAGGGGCGAGGTCGCGCGTTCAGCGCTTTTATTTTGAAAGAAGAGTTATAACAACGTGTATAATCGATTAGTTAATAATCAAATAATCATTGGCTAGTTAATCAGTAATGTAGATAAACTTAAGCCCTACAATACAGTGAAGAGAAGACAATGGCACAATAACTACAAAGGGTTACAAACCAGATGTTATACAAAATGAACTTAAAGAGCCAATTAAACTCTGTTTTACAGAATTAAAAATGCATTCAAACACAGACATACTGTAAAACGTCAGTTCAAACAGTAATAAAGTGACTGTAAATATAATTTACGAACTCAAAAAGTGGATTTAGTTCGTTTAACGACTTTGAGAAGTACATTTTATATAAAACTTTGACACTTTTTATTCAACCCTCTGAAACCGAAGACGTTTTGAGGCATTTTTTGCATTTTTCTCTCAGTGGTCTTGATTTTTTACTGCAATAAAAAAAGTCCATGGAAAAACAACAATCATAGCTTCAAGTAGAGAGAACTCAAACATGTCAATAAAATGTTTTTGATTTAAATTTTAAGCTTCGTTTTGGCTTCTTTTTCTGATGGAAGCGTTCCTCACATGGTGTGTTCAAGGGCGGTTGGAAACCTGAAGACACTGACAGTTTCTACAGCTTCTTGTTTGGATAAACGATGTAGTTTTGGTGATTGTTGAGATCATTTTTAATAGTTGTAGCCTTCGTTGGATAGTGATAGTGGAGAAGATTAATAAAGGATGACATGCAACAAAAAGAATGCATCTGAACCGCTCGGCTACCGGACGTTTTTACAACATAAAACCAAGTTTAAATTGAGCGTAAAGAGCTCAAAGCTTCCATATCAACTGATCTTTCTGCTCAGAGTGGAGCTCCGTAACCACGCTGAATGTGTCTGCTGTGGCAGCTGGTTGCTCGATGCAGTCGACTTAACATTTGGCTGATTTAAGACTTCTCCGTAAGGCCGACTACCTGCACAGCTCCGTTGATCTCATCCTCGCTTGCTGCCGTTTCTCTGGAAGGTCACACCCTTTTATTCTGAAAAGCTCATAGAAATATACAAATGAATGATGATCTGACTTCCTGCAGCTTCGCCCCGCAGTCAGTGATTCTCCTGTTGATCGCAACGGAGCGCATTTTGACAGTTATTACAGGCTGAGGAGAAGATGAAGTCTTTGCCTGTGAGGAACATATTAGAGAGCTTCATGAGGAGGACATAGATCTGACTGTTGAAGACACATACGTACACTTCTTCCTCGTACCCTCTCCCTCCCGCCGAGCCCCACCCATTTCCTGTTGTGGGCCCCTGCAGCACCCCGGGGCCCCTTTTCCTTCAACTGTTCCGCCTTTTTCCTCCTCGGCTCGTACGTCTGAAGTTCACAGCTCCTCCGCCTCAAACAAACGCTGCAGGACTCCGGTTTGTTGTTCCAGCCGGGAGGCCTGTTCGCACGATTCTACCTCTTCTTACCTCTTCTGTCCGGCTTCAAAGGACTCTCAGGCGTGCATCAGACCTCCACTCTGCTGCATGTGAGCATCCCGTTTGAGGCTTGTTCCTTTACGTCCTCGTTACTGTTTATTTAGGGTTTTTATTATGTAATGACCCGTTGGTTGGTCGTCCTTGAGATGAATCCAGAGAGCATTATGGGTAAACCCTTCATCTCCTGGTTCCTCTTTCACAGTTGCTTTAGCTTTTGTCTGCAGAAAACGCTCCTTTTATTTCATAATGTGATGTATTATCTCTGCAAACCGGATATTCTGATTAGTTAAGAATGATATTTCTCTCTCTCTTTATCTGCTGCTTCCTAATTGTGACGGTGAATCTTATTTGTTTAAGCATCTTTTGAAACATTTAATACAAAAGTATATAAAGCACTTAAACGTTCACATAAATGAAAAAGAGCTCAAAGACAGGAAAGTGGAGCGGGCAGCTCGAGATAAAAGGACGAGGACGGAGTCAGACATAACAGAGAAGGCAATAAAATACAAGACATCATGTCACAGCAACTCCATCAAATTAAGTTTTACAAGGTGATTTAAAAAGGTAATACCGACGCTGATACAACACAGCTGCTGTAGTCGAGACTGTCTCCTCCTTCACAGCGTTCACATGACGGAGACGCAGTGTGACGTCGATGAGAACAGCTTGATTACCGTCATGTAATAACAGTATATATAACAGTATATATAACAGAATAGTATAACAATATATATAACAGAATAGTTGGTAGAAATGGTTTTGATTTCCATACCATCAATTTACAATGAAATAACTAAGCGTTTGATTAGAATAGTAAATCCTTTCACATCCTTACATCTGTTTGGAGACTAGTGGTCGACTGTTAAGCCTGTCACATAAAGCACGTGATTTAAGGATCTTTATCTTTGACATGTTCTGCACTTTGACTAAACTATGATTCATGCAGAAGAACAAAATGTGGACGAAGCCCAAATTTAGAAAGCTTTCAGTTCTAAAAACTAAACATGCTGGATGGTTTCTGAGAGAACAAGCGCTGCGTCTTCATCACTTTTGTCATTTCCCAAAGCACAGACATGAACGTCTCCTTTGTGAGCCGGTGACGCTGCGCCGTGCTGCTGTGTGTGGCCTCTCAGTCCAGACGCCGACACCAGCGGGAGTTTCTCAATTAGATTATTCCTCATGAGGAATCCGGACGAACCACAAGACCTCCGAGGGCTGAGAAAGCCTGGTGCTCGGCAACAAACACATGCGTCCTCCACTGTCACTTAAACACACGCCAGAGTTCTAGAGCACAACAGGACCACCAGATGGAAGGATAGATTCCTGCAGAGGAGCATTACAGTAGCATTGAAACATATCTGCATTGCTTAAATGCTGCAAAAACCAACGAAAGCCAATCAGAGCAGGTTGAATTTAGGATGTGGACGACAGAAAAACACTAAAATGCTGCAAGCATTCTGTCTGATTATCAGGATACTTTCACAGCAAGAAAAACCGTTTCAATAACGTGTTAAAATGTGTACGAATACCTCAAAGTATGTGCTATACCAATGTCTTCTGTCTTTTTATGTTAGTGTAAAGTATGTGAATATGTTTTTCATTCAAAAAAAGCCAAACTTGTTGCTTTAAGCTGTTGCACAAGAACTTTGCCTGAATGAAATAGTCTAACGTGTGATTTAAAGCAGGACCTATCAAATCAAAGAATGAAACCTGACCAGACATTCACTCAAAGACAGAGAAAGAGTCCGTCTGTGAGACATAAAGACGCTCTCAGTGTCTGCGGCCTCGGTGAATCCCTCATTGTGATTGTGCGGCGTTACCAAAACACACCAGTCAGGGTCTAATGGTGGATTTCCCAGCATGCCTTTCACTGAACAAAGACGACCCGGGAGTGTAAAGGCTCATGGGGAGGCCGCCGCGTCGCTCCAGCAGGATGTGGCTGAGAAAGGAACGCTCTGTGTCCGTCCTCTCGTCCTCTCGTCTGTCCCGGGCCGATGGGAAACACCCGGGGGTTCGATCCCATGGCCGACGCTCACAACACCGCCATTGTTCACCACTTTCTGAACCAGACCTCTCATCTTCTGACACAGCTCTGTTTTTATCCTCACTGTCTGTCTGTGTGTGTGTCTGTCTGTGTGTGT